TCAGTAATGGGCAGTAGCGGGAGCGAAGTGGAAGTTTTTCGTGTTGTGGTTTAATGTGGCAGTCGTTCTTAGGGGTGTTCAGTATCTTGGCGATAGGTGGTTGTTGAGTGAAGTATTTCCATTACAATCTTATTGGTATTGTTATGGCACATGTTGCAGCGTGTTTTTTGTTCATTGTTTTGCCGTGGTGTTTACGTGCCAGTATACTTAGAGGTATGTCACGACTTTTTGTATTTTTGCAGGGTTCTCTGCGGGGTATAGCTGAAAGCATTGTTGTTTTGTTCCTACCAATCAGTCGTCATATGTAATTCCTTCGTTTATTTGCAGTAGACTTACGTAGCCGGTTTATCTTTATGATTGTACGAGTTATTTTGTCAGTATATAAGTCCTATAACCCTTTTTTTTTGCGTTGTGGTTAGTGTACAAGTATCGAAATAGTCGTATTCCTAAAACGTTGTTGCCTTGTAGAAGGTTTTTTTCGAGGTAGATTTGCTTAATTTATACAAGAAGGTACTACAATTTAATCCATTTATTAGTTTTTAAAAATTTTATTACTATTAAAAAACCTTTTATTTATTATTATTTATTATTATTTATTTATTTATTATTATTTTTTATTTTTTATAATTTATTATTTATTTTATAATTTATTATTTATTTTATTATGATTTATTTATTTTTAATTATTATTTTATCTATAAATTTTATTTTTAACTTTTTTATCTTTTATTATAATTTATTAAAATTTTATTATTTATCTTTTTATCTTTTATTATATTTTATTAGTTATTATTAATTATTAATTATTAATAATTTTAAAAATAATAATCAAGGTTGCCAGGCCGAATGTACGGAGGCCGCTAAGCTGACCCCCGAACGTTCGGCTGTTGGGGTCTCCGTACAGGGCCCGAACCTGAAAGGGTTCGGACCACACAAAAAAATATTTTGGTACCTAAATATTATTAATTTTTTCTGCAACTTTTTGTGTGAGTTCTTTGTGATATAAGGTATCTCGCTCTTGATTTTGAAGCCATTTTGTTGATCCAAAAAAAACATGAAAAATCAGCAAAGATGGTGGTGTCAAAACTTGCTTGCCCACTCACTAATTTGTTTTTTCTCTCTTCTGGCGTTTTGTTTTTCCTTCATTTCGGGTCATGAAAACAATTATTATTTTTTCAAACTTTATTTGTAAATTCTCCATTATGTAAGCTACACATACATAAATTTTCATGGCAGTTGTCACAACAAAAAAAAACCTGAAAAATCGCCAAAGATGGAGGTGTCAAAAACGTACTTGCCCACTCAATAATTTCATTCTCGTTTTATGTTTTTTAATTTTTATTATTATTATTTATTTTTATTTCAATTTTGGTAAAGAATTTGGATGTCATGTTGAGGCAAATGTTGTTCAGTTTATTCTTCTGCATGACAAATATTGTTTTCAAATTTTTTGGATCTTGTTTTTTTTTTTTTTTTTGGTCTACGTTCGACCGAACAGCCGAACGCATCGAGAGGGGGTCCCGAACGTTCGGGCGTTCGGGTTCGGGCGTTCGTCCCGTCCCGAACGCCGGAAACCCTGATAATAATAATAATAAATGAGTGAGTGTGTGTGTGTGTGTGTGTGTGTGTGTGTGTGTATGTGTGTGTGTGTGAGAGAGAGATAGA